GCATGTAATTCTGGCTTCATTAAGTTCCAGCTGAAGATGCTTATAACTGAGAAAGGAGTAGCAGATATAAAATATAATAGCCGCTAGTTATGGCCCGTAATGACCTTTGATGTCTGTTGTCTCTATGTCCTTCTGTAGCATGATGTCTTTTTTAGCTTCAATATTTTACATTTCTAATTAAGACTCGATTCCCTTGTTATATATGCTTTTGATTATTTGGGCAAAAGCTGTCTTTTCCTACTCATTGAACTGTAGGTCTACTGAAACATTTTATTGATTCAAAAACAGGTTATGAAATTTGGAAACCAGAGTCAAATCAGCTTAATAGCAGAAGATGTAGGTGGTGCGGTTGGAGCAGCTGGACCTGAAGCGCAGATTGAGCTTTTTGATGCTTTAATTGAAGGATGCAAAGAAGCAGTTGAGCTTGGAAATCCAGATCCAAAGGTTCTGTTTGATAGTAATTAATTTCCTAGTTTAGGACAAATTACAGCTTCAGTCCTTGTGATCTGAACTTATTCAGCTTCGTCACCTTCTGATTTTTTTGTAAAAATAATTTGGTCCTGGTTGTTTGGCCACTTGTCATTTTGCATAACTATACTTAGCTTCAATCTTCTAATATTTGTACTGAAAAACAAACAAATAATAGATCATAATTTGAATTTAAATTACAGTGAACCACAAGGAATTGGACAGTATTTTATATCATATAGGATCCTGTCTGACTGACAAGTTTATGTTGACTTACTTTCAGGGGCCTCTGTTAGACTTTTTTGGTGTCCCTGTGAAGGCAAATGAACTACTAAAACGTGTTCAAGAACTTCAACTTCTAGCAAGACGGATTAGTCGTTATGAAGATCCTGTTGCACAGTTCCGGGTATTGATGTACCTTAAGCCTTCAAATTGGTCCAAAGGCTGTGGCTGGAATCAGGGTATGCATTTTATCTCTGTATAAGCTGTTTCTTTTTGGCATAATTATGAAGGAATTTTGTATTGCTGATTTATTTTACTTTATGATATTTACACTAGTTGATGATGCAAGACTGCTTCTGGGAATACATCATTATGGGTTTGGGAACTGGGAAAAGATAAGGTTAGATGAAAGACTTGGCCTCGGAAAGAAGATTGCTCCTGTTGAACTACAACATCATGAGACATTTTTACCTCGTGCGCCAAATTTGAAGGAACGTGCTAACTCACTTCTCGAGATGGTAGGAAATCGTTTGTGCATTCTAATACCTTTATGAACGGACGTGGTGCTTTCTGTGCAATTTGGTTCATTTTACCTTTGTTGATTCCTTGTAGTTTTCCTTCCATATGGTGTTATCAAATTTCTATTGCGTTAATTGCTTTACTGCAATGCAAAATTTGGCAGGAAACTCTTGCCGTTTCATTTTTCACTCATATGTTACTTAACACTGACTTTAATATTTGTGACTTTTACTTGCCGCTGGAAGTTTGGAGTTTTGGGATGATGGTAGGATGCTGCATTCAATTGGGTGTTTATAGTGAGCAGTGGCCTGGCAGTTCTTCAGCTAGGTATTAAGCCCTGGCTGCCTAGCCCAAAATTCATGCCAAAAGTTACCTAGTCTCTGTTTGAAACAGAGTTAAAATCTATGTGCCCGACAATTCACTGCTATCCCAACCTACAAAAATGACACTCGTTCCTGTGTTTCCACGTTCACATATTGTTTGGGTTTGGGGTAGGTGTTGGGCATGTGTATATCCTGTAACAGTCTGTAGTCCTCGAAATAAGCAGTGAGGGAGATTTATCTAGTAATTTTTTTGTGTTTCCATAAACCTGATAGGAACAAAATTTATATGTTTAGCAGCAAGAGACATCCATCCACTCATTCCTTTTGTGTTTCTGTATACTGGCGTGATGAGAATTATCTCTATACTTGCATACTACAGCTTATTTTGGTTTTTTTTTTTTTATTTATTCATGAAAAAATTTAGGGTAATGACCATTCCTAAACAAGTCCTTTTTGTGTCTGATAGCTGATTAGGAACAACGTTACCTCTACACTTTATAGTGCACCTGATTCTATTGTTATATTTTGTAAGTGTATGCTGTTCTTTATTCTTTGCATGACCTGATGATGGCCTTTTTCTTCTACCAGGAACTTACAGCTATTGGTGGGAGGAATGTCAATGCTAAAGTGGGTCGTAAGATTTCCAAAAAAGAGAGGGAAAATCTCATGAACATGTCAATGCCTCAGAACAGGGACAAGAAAGGAAAAGCTGGTTCCTCTAAGGTCAACTTAAAAATTACTAGGAACAGGCCTCAGAGACATCATAAAGTGGAACCTTTAATAAAAGAGGAGGGTGAGATGTCAGACAATGAGGAAATGTATGAACAGTTTAGGGAAGTAAAATGGATGGAGTGGTGCGAAGATGTAATGGTTAGTGAGGTTAAAACCCTTAAACGTCTTAGTAGGTTACAAACTACTAGTGCTGATCTACCGAAGGAAAAGGTGCAGTTGATCTCTCTCTCTTTTTTTTGTTTTTTTTTCTCTATTCTATTTCAGTGTGAGAAACAATCTAATAAAACTCTTATAACATTGAAAATTCCAGGTGCTTTCCAAAATTCGAAATTATTTGCAGCTTCTCGGGCGAAGGATAGATCAAATTGTCTTGGAATATGACGAGGAGCTTTATAAACATGATAGTATGTGTTTCAGTGTCCTGTATGATCCACTTGCTTGTTCAGTTAGAACCTTAATGGGTGTTTGTTTCTTTTTTATTTGGATTTTGTGTCCAACCATTATACCTGCTCTCTCCTGCCCCCACCGTACCCGCACCCCCACCCAACCATACCCTTGTATACATTGTTCGACCTATTCTTCAAAAGTTCTCTATTTTCTACTGTTCCATTTTTTATATGGTGTTCGACTCTTCAAACTGTAGTCTCAAGGGAGGTCAGGTATATAGGTGTCATTAGGAATCTTTGCAAGACAACAATGCGATTTTGAAATCTTATGTAGTTTTTATATTTGAAATCTTATTGCAGGAATGGCCATGCGATTGTGGAACTATGTTTCCACTTTCTCTAATCTTTCTGGGGAGCGACTCCGGCAGATTTATTCCAAACTTAAGCAGGAGCAGGATGATGATGGAGGGGTTGGACCTTCACATGTTAATGGCTCTGCGTCTGGTCCCATTGACAGAGATAGTGATCACAATCACATTTCTCCGTTTCCTCGCCATTTTGAGAGGCAAAGAGGGTACAAAAATGCAAGTTCACATCAAGTGTCAGGACCCCACAAGGGTATTGATCAAGGGAAGTTTGAAGCATGGAAACGGAGAAGAAGAGCTGAAGGCGATATTCATCCCTCAGTTCCACCCTCGTCTCAAAGGCCTTTGGGTGATCCTGCCCGTTTAACTGACCCAAATTCACTAGGAATTCTTGGGGCAGGACCTTCTGACAGCAGGCGGTTTGTTAATCAGAGACCTTTCCGAATGCGTCAGGCTGGTTTACCTCCCAGATAAGATTTCTTGTCAGGTATCGGATAGTCTTTTTCTGATAAATGGGATGGTAATGGCTGATCGAAAAGTGGTGCCAATTGACTTCTGCCTTGTGGCATTTACTAATCCAGCCAGTGAATAGTCTGAAATTCTTTTTGCACCATGAGAATAAGAATTTGCAGATTCCAATCTGGTTGGGATGGCTGATTTGAAGTTATCAACCGGATTGTGCCTGCATCCTTGTAAAAAAAGCTGGCTGAGGAAGAAAGCCGAAACAACTGCAAGACAGGTTCTTGCAACAGTTCTTTTTCTTTTAGAAATTGAGTCAAGTTATTTGTTTACGTATATAGTGAAAAGTAGTAGGGAAAAGTTGGGAAAAATCATTTTCTCATTCATCCAAAATATAAATGCCCGAGCGGGACATTTATGTATTATGCCATAGGAAAAATGTACATTATCAGTTTTGCAAAAAAATTTTGAACTTTTATTTTCTCACAGCTAGTTGTGTTTGCCCATAGGTAATACATAGGTTATTGATAGAGCATCTTCTGTTGCTAGGGTGGCATTGAGACTGGGCCAATACTTTTTGTTCAGTTTCTCTCATTGCCATATTTGGGGTTTAAACACGAACCATTTATGGGTATACGGACCATTTATGTGGAAGTGGCTGAAGTAATCAGGTGTTTGGTGCCTCAAAACATATTAGAATGAATGCGTTTGTTGTCATTTATTATCTCAGAATTCTGTATTATGTTCATAGAATGCTTCCACTTTGTCCAACAGTCGTGCTGAGCAGTTTCATGCTTCTTCCTTCTCAAAATGTTTGAAATTTCCTGCGTGTATTTAAAGTAAAGCATCTGATCTACCACCAGAATAAACTTCCCACCGGAAATCTAGAGGTAAACCTAACAACTGAAGCTATTCTTGTTGATTGCAGAGTTGAGTTCATCGTTTTAAAAGTAAGTGTAAATTGAATTCATCTACTTGTGATCCGATTTATCCCTACGCCTATACCCAACACGTATGTGGCAGAGAATAACTAGAAGCACCTAACAATGTGGATGACTGAACTAAGAAATACAAATGATGGGGTGCCCCACCCGGGACAGCTGACAGCTTCGTGTATCTGAGGCAGCCCCATAATAGGGATAGAAACAAGAATAGGGAGCGAAAGAGAGAAACTACATGGAAATTTAGAAGTGAGAGGTGTTTGTGGTGTTAATTTGAACTAGAGGGTGTGGTTGACAGCACTTTATCACTTTATCCCTCAATTTGCTTTCTCAACCTCAAATTCAAACTTCCAAAGCTGCGTTTATTATGACCAATTATTATTATTATTTTTTGTTTTTCTTAATCTCATAAAAATCATTTTTTTTTTTCGTTTTATTTTATCTCATAAAAATCATAATCTTTCTCTGGGTATATGTGGGTTTTTGGTCACACAATTCGCAATATTATTTGAATTTTGGATAAAAAATTTCAAATTGATGATTTCGAACTCGGTAGAATCCTCATCTCAATTTTGTTTTAAATTAAATGAATCGGAACACCTCTATGAATAATCAAATTCGAAGTGCGATGGATCATCAATTGGTGTCATTGCATTGTTGCTATCGAATTAATAAATGTTAGCAAGAAATAAATCATCTCTTCCAAGGGTGTAACTCAAACTATTTAAAACTATAGGGCAATATGAAGAATTTACGAAAAATAAATGGGCCCAGAATTAAGAGACTCGTGTTAGTCTCTAAGTGCAAACCTACAAAAATAAAAATAAACAAAATATAACTGAGTAATTAATTGAAAAATCCACGTCATCCAATTTTAGCCGCAGGATTTTCATGGATTTGCTCTTATCTGCCACGTGGGCACGATGGGCCCCGCGCTAACTGTGGTTGGTTCTCCCGTGCTCTTTATATTCTCTGGCACGTTATTTACTATAATCTACCTGCCTAAATCTTTTCCAACAGCCTTCTTCTCCGCTAGCTTTGGAGAAGTCACCCGCCTCTTCAAAGGTAAATCTTCACTTTCAGTCTCTCTCGATGTTCTTTTTTATTTTCTTTCAATTCCAATTCTCAAATCGATCTTACACACAAACACACACTTTCACACAGATTCATTCATATAACAGGCAAATATTATATGGGTGTATGTCATGTGTGAGTTCTGTGTTTGTTGAAAGTATAATTTTCTTTGACCATTTGCTTTGTTTTATGTGTGTGTAGGAGTTTGTATGTGCATGGATTTCTAGTTGAGAGTATGTGCTGTTTTTCTTTTTTTAAATTCTCACATCTATTTGACGCACTCTTGTACGCATAGATTCATACACATGGTCTGCAACAATTATATGAGTGTGTATATATGTGCACGTACATACATGGGTCGCTTGTTGAAACTATGGTATATATTTCTTTGACTTTTTCTGGGTGGTCTCAGAATTTTCCCATGTCAATACTTCTATGTTTCTCTGACTCTGTTGAATTTAATGATTAATCCAATTTTGTTGTCATCTTGTTGCTAGTTTTCTTTTACCCTTGTCCACGAGAGGGGTTAGAACAGGGGTGGAGGGATATATTTCTTGATTGATGAAATGAATAATTAAGAGGAAAAAAGCAAAAAAAAAAAAAAGGTTTTTTTTTAGTGTGTTTTTGGCTTTTTATCTGCAAATTGGTTTTCTTTCTCTGCAAGTATTGCTGCTTATTCAACTTGTTTAGCACCTTATTTTCTTGCATCAAACCAGAGCAAGAAGATTTTCAGAAAAATGATTTTCTTTTAGTTAGCAAATGAAAAAAAAAAAAGTTCCTTTTGTCAAATGATTGGTTGGTTTTGGAACCAGCTAGAGGCACTTCAAGCGGTAGGAAATGATTAAAGTGATGAACTTTTATGAGTATATGATCTTTGTTTAGAACCTTTACGTGTTCCATTTGCGAACCAAGTGTTACTTGCACGATATACAATCCAGCAATTGTTAGCCATACTTTGTTGGAAATTAATCAGGATATACTATGCATACGTGTACATAAATATACATACACACAGACAAGCATGCATACACAAACACATATATATACCTTTTGGTTCATCTTTGAATCTTGAGTTCAAATCTAAATAACAATATCTTAAGGTTGTAGCATGTCCAACCTAGTCTTTTACTCATGAATATTATGTATAACAATTAGTTAGTAAGGAAAAATAATTATTAAAAACAAAAAGTAGAGAATATGAACCACCTTTTTCTTTTAGTTTTCTGCTTGCTGATAAAATTCCCTTTGAAACATTCACTATTTTGCTTCTTGAAATTTGGTACAGAGATCAAAAATTCTGTAGAATATCATTTTAATCTTGTTTCGTGCCTTTTTGGATTAGGAATTTAACACGGGAATTTAAGACTGATTTCTCTCTTATAGTTCTTTTTACAGTGGAGTTGAACTCTCAATACTGATATCTCTTATGAATTTTTTATAGTATAGGTAGTTCTGACACTTGAAGTGTCAAATCCATTTGAAGTCACCTGTGGAAATTGTAGGAGGGAGAGATGGACTACGTATATGGACCAGGAAAGCACCATCTCTTTGTTCCCGGGCCAGTTAATATCCCGGAACCTGTCATTCGGGCAATGAATCGGAACAATGAAGATTACCGTTCCCCAGCCATTCCAGCACTGACCAAGACCCTTCTTGAGGATGTCAAGAAAATTTTCAAGACAACTAATGGAACTCCATTTCTGATTCCAACCACAGGTATACCCTATGTTAATATCTACTTGTATGCTTTAGCTACCATGTCCTTCAAATATAGATTTTTTTTGTCTATATTTATTATGTAATTGCTACGATCCTAAGTAAATTTTTATACTTAATAAATATTGTGCAATATAAAAATAAACAAGTTGGTAGAAATAGAAAAGTAAAAGAAATAAATCATTTATGTGATTCAGTCATTGTAATCTAGTTTATAGAAAAGAAATATACACATTTATTAGTATAGAAGAATTTCAGAAATTACAATGTGTTATTCACTTTAGACGCTTACATCTAATAAAGTAACAACAGTGTTGGTTCTGAAAGTAAACTATATGTGTACACGTATACATATGTATATAGAATGACTCCAAAGAAAAAATTCTAATAGTATACAACAATGATTTTGAATAACCATATCCAGAAAGAGTTGCAGATGGTTATAATTATGCATTAAGATTGAATAAGGAATAGGAATTGAATTTCAGTAGTCAGTTCTGTAATGAGAGTGTTATACCATCTGTCACTTTGTGGTTATTTTTGAAGTCTTAAGATTTGCATTGTATACATTGTATACATCATGCAAGCTATGACTGGATGATATCTTAACCAAGGAAAGCAAAATGAAATGAGCTTGCCACATTGGCATATCTGCAAATTATGTATCTTGTCATGGAAAAAGTATAGTATGGCTAAGTTTACATTGCTGTTCTGATTCAGGTACTGGTGCATGGGAGAGTGCACTTACAAACACCTTATCTCCTGGAGACCGAATCATTTCTTTCCTAATTGGGCAGTTCAGTCTGCTCTGGATTGATCAGCAGCAACGACTCAAATTCAATGTCGATGTCGTAGAAAGTGAATGGGGTCAGGGAGCGAACCTAGAAGTTCTGGCTTCAAAACTTGCTGCTGATACTGCACATACAATCAAGGCAATTTGCATTGTTCACAATGAGACTGCAACTGGAGTTACTAACAACTTGGCTACAGTGAGAAAAATACTTGGTAGGATGTGTCTATGCTTTTGGCTATAATATATATCTTCTTTTCTACATGAAGAGAAGATATTTCTTCAGCATTCCATTACCTAATGTTGAAACTGGTAAAAATACAGATGTTTCATTTGAGTCTTGTTGAGTGATTACTTAACTTCTACTTCAGAAGGGTTGATAATATTTTTACATGTTTATATATAAAAATATACACTAATATTAGAAATTGAAACTAGGAAAATCTTTTATGCAGCCTAATTTTCATCTTTCTGACCACATTCTCATAATTTAATTTACTTTTGTTTTTTCCAATCATTTCTCAGATCATTACAGCCATCCAGCTCTGTTACTTGTTGATGGAGTGTCATCCATATGTGCTCTTGACTTCCGCATGGATGAATGGGGAGTGGATGTGGCTTTAACCGGCTCCCAAAAGGCTCTTTCTCTCCCAACAGGAATTGGTATTGTCTGTGCAAGTCCCAAGGCTCCGGAGGCATCCAAAACGGCAAAATCAGTCAGAGTTTTCTTTGACTGGGCTGATTACTTGAAATTCTATAAGTTAGGAACATATTGGCCCTATACCCCTTCTATCCAATTGCTTTATGGGTTGAGAGCAGCTCTGGACCTCATCTTTGAGGAAGGACTTGAGAATATCATCGAAAGGCATGCCCGTTTGGGAAAAGCAACAAGGTGATCAATCTATTATGCCTCTGAAGCCCCATAAATACCTCGTGGTTGTTAGGCTAACATAAAAGAATTCATACTTAATAGTCAAATAACTTTTGGAGAGTTGTACAGGTGATTTTTTCTATATTTGATGAATGTTACACAACATGTTGTAGGCTGGCTGTGGAAGCATGGGGATTGAAGAACTGCACACAGAAGGAGGAATGGTACAGTAACACAGTTACTGCTGTGCTTGTTCCTCCTTATATCGATAGCAGTGAAATTGTTAGAAGAGCATGGAAGAGATACAATCTAAGCTTAGGTCTTGGTCTCAACAAAGTAGCTGGAAAAGTGTTCAGAATAGGCCATCTTGGCAACTTGAATGAGGTACTCTTCATTTCTCCATAAGAATTGAACTAGTTTATTTCTCCGGAGAATTTTATTATTTATTCTCGAATTCCTTTCCCTCACTTTTTAAATATTATGGATAACATTAGTAACTTTAAGTGACCTTAACCTCTTAAAGATCATATTGACTATAACATAAGCGAAACTAAGATACGATGTAACCATATATGTATCGTTTCTCGATGATTTTCTTATCACTCTGAAACGAGACTAGAGGTTATTTCTTTACGGGTTAGACTGATCTTTTATCATGTTGATATTGGGTATGATCAGCTGCAACTGCTGGGTTGTCTTGCTGGTGTTGAGATGATATTGAAGGATGTTGGGTACCCAGTTAAACTTGGAAGTGGAGTTGCAGCTGCTTGTGCATATTTGCAGAATAACATCCCTCTCATTCCTTCCAGGATTTAATTGTAACTATATTCACCTTTCTCTGTAAAAATTTAATCATCTCCTCCCCTCCCCCATCTGCTTTGAACTCTCTGCCAAATTTGCTGCTTAATACATAAAACTTCTTGTATCCTTTATCTTTTCAATCCAATCTACTATTTTATATTCTTTTCTTTTTTCTTCCCGACTAATTACTTACTGTAAATATTTTTTCATTGAAGAATTAGTATTTCTCTCTTTCTATATGAAATTATAGATTCGAATTAAATTGTACATTTCTGTATATTTTTATTAAAAAATTATTTTATAATTAGTGTGAATGTATCACTTAATTAATAAAATAACTTTTTAATAAAAACATATGAAAATACATAGTTTGATTCGAATCTATAATTTCATATATATTTACAAAAAATAATTATTATTAATTTTATACACACTAAAAAATATTATTAATTTATAAAAATATAAATCGTTAATAATACGTTTTTAATAGTCTATTTAGTACTTAAAATTTTTTTTATTTAATAAAAATTTGCACCATAAACCGGAGAAAAAGAAATTTTAATTATTAATATTTAATATCGAATTGGAATTGTAAACTAAATAAAGTGTAAGACATAATTTGTACACTTTGCTCACGTTATTACTAAAATTTATTGGAGAATTTATTTTTAATTTAAATAATTTTAGGATTTTCTTTATAAGTATTTTTTTTATTTTTAAATTGATACAATTTTCCTTCAATAAAATAATTTTTATATGAAATAATTTTATTTTTTTTGTTTAAAAACCATATTTTTTTAATATTATCAAAGTTAATAATTTTTTTTTTGTACAAGTATGTGAAAGACTAGCAATAATATTTTTAAATTTAAATATTATATTTTGTAAATCGAAAATTGCAAAAAACAATAATTATATATACACAATAATTTGTCAAAATAATGGAGAGAGCTTCGAAAGGTAATTTAAAATTAAAAGAAGTTGTTATTAATTTATTAAAAAATAAAATAAATTTTTTTTAAAAAAATATCGTATATTTTGTCTAAATAAAGAAATGAATTTTTATTTTTATTTTTATTTTTTCAATACAATATAATATAAGATTCTATTTTTTTATTTATTAAAAATAAAAAATATATATATCATTTAACCTAAATATGAGGTGTATTTATTTATTTTTTATTTTTTATTTTTTTTTTACAAAAACACGTATTGTTTTTACAAAAAATATTAAGAAAATAAACTGAAACTGAAATAGGATAAGACTCGGTGACGCTATTCAGCTTGTGGTTGCTTGACTGTCTGGAGCAGAGAGAACTCATGGCGGGAGCTCTGCTATATTTGAGGTCTCCTGTAACAACAGCAGCCTCTTCGTCGTCTACTAAAGAGAAAGAATTTGACAATGTTCATAAAATTCGGCTCCCAGATAAGACACGGAATTCTCGAGTTTTGATTCTGGGTGGTACGGGTCGTGTCGGAGGATCCACGGCCATTGCACTCTCCAATCTCTGCCCTGAACTCCGCGTCATTATTGGTGGTCGTAACAGGTTGGAGGATAAGTAGCTCATTCTTGAATTTGATTCTTGATGCGCAGAGGATAAAATTGTTTGTTTACTCAAGAAATGGGATAGAGAAATTTTTCTGTACTGAAATTTCTGCAACCTTATCACCATACTCAAATGTTTTAAATTTATTCTAGCACTAGCTTTGCTTCTGTTGTGGATAGGATGGTGATGCACGGATTTTTAGATTTTTAGTAATGTATCTTTATACTCTCTGTAAAGAACTCTGCCTTTCCTTTGTAAATGAATATTTAATGACGGAAGTACTTCATGTGGCAGGGAAAAAGGTGATGCCATGGCAGCTAAACTGGGGAAGAATTCTGAGTTTGCTGAAGTGAATATTGACGAAGTAGAGTCACTGAAAACAGCTTTAAGTGGTGCGGTAATCTTTCCCTGACTAATTTTATATCTGTTGTATTCTTGTTTTTAAAAGATTAATTCTCAGTTTGCATGATTTAAGTTATCTGGTTGAATATCCTATAGACACGACGTCCTTTATACGTTCTTTAAGAGATGTTTTTATACCTTGGGATGGGCATATCTGGTCTCTTCCTACTGGAAGCCTCTCTTTTGAATTCCTTCAACTTGGTGGATGTATATTCTTGACTCAAATCAACTTGCCTTCAGGCCTAACCGTATAGGATTGGTCTGATTTAGCATTCAGATTTGTTCTCTCCCGAATTATAGTTTGGCCTTGCTCAGAAAGAGAAAACAGTAATCATGAATCGCTGTGGGTCTTCATGAAAATATATTTACGACTTTTTGGAACTATATATTTCTAAATTGCTGTACTTTACTCTGTATAATGCAGAAGCAGATCTTGTAGTCCACACAGCAGGACCTTTTCAACAGGCAGAGAAGTGCACGGTTCTGGAAGCTGCCATAGAGACCAAGGTGAGGAAAAGGTAATTATTTAAATTTTGTACCTTGTACTTTTTTTGTGTTTTACGATTATGATTAATGTACAGTCATCTTAAGAACTCTTTTTCCTTTTTCCCTGCCATCTCTCTGAACAGACAGCATATATTGATGTTTGTGACGACACAAGCTACGCATTTAGAGCAAAATCTTTCAAGGATAGAGCCATAGCTGCAAATATTCCTGCCATAACTACTGGTGGAATCTATCCGGGAGTGAGCAATGGTGATATTAAGCACATATTTATTTGCTATGTCAATCTTTTCACTGACCATAATTTTCATTAAACAAATTGAAAACATTCAAATTTATTTATAGATAGACCTAAATTCTGCTGATTTCAAAAGTGAACTTGTACTCTTCCTTTTTTAAAACACCTTATACTTATGGGCTAGTCTCTGACAGTGATGGCAGCAGAGCTGGTTCGTGTAGCAAGAAGTGAAAGCAAGGGCGAGCCAGAGAGGCTAAGGTAGTTGTTCTTGAAGGAGTCACAAATTCTTGATTGGTAAATTGATTGGCATAATAGACAGTCCTGCGGCCATTAAAGTGTTTCCTTCTCTTCTTCTTTTTTATTTTTTATGTGGCAAAAACATCTAAGGGATAATAATGTTACATAACCATGTGCATTCCATATCCTCTTTGTATCATTGACAATAGTTGGAGCATAACCTTGGTGTTGATGCAAGAATTCTTTGTAAGATTTTCTTTTTCAAATTTATGAAGTTCTTACCATATTTGTGATTCTTACTCATTTAAAAAAATTATTAGAATTCTAACTCACCTTCTTTAGTTTTACCCCAGTTGTTTGCCACTTCTCTGTCTAAAATTTTCCGATGAAGTTTCAGCTACTTAAACTGCGGATGTATTTCTTTCCAATGTACAGCAAATTTAACTTATTGAATTTGTCCTAATACATGCTTAAACCTTTTATTTGATCTTTTCCATTTTCAATCTTGTCATCTTTTTCTCAATCTCTCGTGATGTAGCGTCATTTTCGATTTACTGATGCTCATTTCCATGTAATCTGTTGTCGTAGAAGAACCTAATAAAAGTTTTCTTTTAGTTTAATGTAAATTGCACTGTCAAGGTTATTCATTTCTCTTAGATTACTATTCCTTCAACTTTAGGTCCATGGAAAAGTTTTATCTGAATGTATGCTACTTTGACAAAATAACCAAAATAGATAACTTTTCTTTTTTGTTTTTGGCTGCATATGAGAGAATAATGTTAAAATATATATTCACAGATTCCACTACTACACAGCAGGCACTGGTGGAGCTGGTCCTACTATTTTGGTGACTAGCTTTTTGCTTCTTGGAGAGGAAGTTGTTGCATATAATAAAGGTCAGTTTGTGCAGAATTTTTGCAAAACGCCATCCATTTTATTTGATACCTAATCATCATCCTCTGATTACTCAATCAGGAGAAGAGATCAAACTAAAGCCTTACAGCGGAATGCTGAATATTGACTTTGGAAAAGGGATTGGAAAAAGAGATGTTTATCTATTGTAAGTTCTATAAGAAAGAAATTGCTCTTAAAGCAGTAGGTCATCCATAAGTAGATTTGTTGTGGTTAATTCCACATAATGTTGTCAGAAAATGGGTATCAACATTGGAGAGTGTCATTGTGACATAATTATTCGCATCTGTAGTACTCCAGAATGCCAAAGAAGAATCTCTCTTTTCAACTTGATGAAGTTTTGATTTTTCAAGAAAAGAAAAAGGAAATCTTGATGAAGTTTTTCATTTGCTGATTGCCATTTCCTTTATGGTGGCTTTGTGCATAAGTTAGCTTCCCATTTATGTTGATGATAAAATATTAAGTTATACTGCAACCAAGATGTAAAGGTTCTTGTTTTAGACCTCTTGAGATATATATTTATGTACACTACATATATTTAAGCCATTCTAAGCTGGAAACCTCCATTCTCTTCCAGCAGATCAATGAAAAAGGAAGAGAAGAAAGATGTAATCTAAAAAGAATTCCTGCTTATGACAGCCAAGTCAAGTTTCTAGTTTTTCTTTATACTCTAAATTCTTGATTTCCCATCATTAATTTCTTCCAGCTGCCTCATTGTCACTTGGAGGCTGACGCCTTCTGGCTTTTGTATTATTACGTTAGATTCAACATCGAACATCATATCAAATTCTAGTGTTATTACATGTAGGATAAATAGAATTTTGTCCATGAGACCATACTATATAGTGGCCCTACCAATGGGATATAATTAAGATGTGAATATAACAAAATGATCCTTTGTTTTTTTAGAAAAAAACTATCCTTCATTACTTGCACGTAAGGGTATTGAGTCACTAATTGTCCCTATGAAAGGTTGGAAGGTGTTAGAAATCACTAGAATATATTGTGTCCCCTGACTAATAATTATTTTTCTTTTGGAATCAACATGGGAATGCCGTCTGTTTCAAAATGACAGCTTATGATTCACTGAAGTGGAGTCGTTTTGTTTCTATCTGCTTGATTGAGAAACTGGAGAGTTATTCTTCTCAACATCAGTTTAATCAGAACCTTATTTTCAGGAACTTACCAGAGGTGAGGAGTGCTTACAAAGTACTAGGGGTACCAACTGTCAGTGCTCGATTTGGCACTGCACCGTTTTTCTGGAATTGGGGAATGACAGCCATGACAAATTTTCTTCCTATGGTATGCTTTTTATATGGAGAGAAAAATTTATGCTTTTCACATGACCAAGAATTCATTTCCTGGTGACGAGATAATTCTGATCTCTTATCAAGTGTTAAGAGTCAACTGTTAATGTAAAATCCACCCTCGGCAACTATAATTGGGTAATTGTAGTTAAGTAGCAGACTTTAAGAGATGCAATTAAATTCAGTAAATAGTTGGTATGGTTTATAGTAACCCATTAAGTCCAAGACATGGTTTTATGGTTTAGTGTAACCAGTCTGCTCTTCCTTCAGTTAAACTTTAACTAACATTTTACTCTCCTTATTCTCATGTAATGACAAGTCATGCTTTTTCATGGACTTTGTTACATAAGCTACATTTACATGCTGTAACCTGTAGAAGAAGAAAGACTGCCACCCAATTTCTATGTAAACTCTTTATAAATAATTCTTCTCAATAAGTCAATGAGTTTTGAGTAAATCTTACAGGAATTTCTAAGAGATCGCGACAAAGTCCAAAGATTGGTTCAATTGTTTGATCCCCTAGTTCGAGCAGTTGATGGGATTGCTGGAGAGCGTGTGTCCATGAGGGTACTACATCATGCAAATATAAATTAGTTTTATTTTTCTCATTTGAGATATTGTTGAATAATAGACCTATCATATATTTATTGCTTCTGAAGTTTTCTTCCTAATCTATTTCTTCTATTCTCCGCAATTTTTTTGTCAGGTTGATTTGGAGTGCACAGATGGACGCCGTACTGTTGGTATATTTAGTCACAGAAGGCTTTCAGTGTAAGGCCTAAATTTACAGATATTCAGCACAACCCTTATTCAGATAATCTTTCTCATATGTTGTGTATTCTATGAATTTTAATTTACAAACAGAAATTTAGAAGGGTAGTGCTCATCTTTTTAAATTAGATATTACAAAAAATAGCAATCATGTCTTTCAGATCTGTTGGAACTGCTACAGCTGCTTTTGCCCTTGCAATTCTTGAGGGAAGCACACAGCCCGGGGTTTGGTTTCCGGAAGAGGTATGTTCAGCTACAAAAAAATTTAGACTGTCTAAGGTACAACTAAACGTTGCAAATCATTCATCAAATTCCACTTTTAGCCTGAAGGGATAGCAGTTGAGGCAAGGCAAACTCTTCTTGAGCGTGCTGCACAAGGAACAATTAATTTTGTAATGAACAAGTAAGGGTTCTAACTCAAGAGTTGAATTCTCTTCCTTATTATGCTTATATTTTCCTAGCGTAAATGTGACCATTTTTCTTTTCTAATAGGCCACCATGGATGGTGGAAACAGACCCAAAAGAGCTTGGATTAGGAATATACGTGTGACAACACTTAAAAGGAGAAACATTAGAAGGTTCAACTTTTCTTCCCTCTTCTCTTATTAATGGCTTGGGGTTATTCAAGTGATGTTGTTTTAGCTGGGCTGGTAATATTTAGCGTCCTTGTGGTAGGTACTGGAAGTCAACAGATTTGTTCAAGTACCATCCATGTGCAGAACAGCATCCAACTGATGATTGCTTGCCAGAAGAAAACAAATGAGAAATGTTATGTAGCCATTATCTCTATGAAATTCAATTTTTTATTCTTTCCAGAAAAACATATAACATTTCGTTACATTTTTTTACAAGTTATTGAATATACGGTCAAAGATACCAATTTTTAAAGCTAATTTCTTGTTTCCTTTCTGCACCCTTCTGCTCTAAAAAGGGGGAAGAGGAAAAGTTAGATCCTTACGTAAGTAGTTTCCAACCTCAGCTTCGTACATAACAGGGTCTTGGAACCCTAAAAAATTACAAATTCATGTATCCATATTGTGGCTGATCAGTTTTGAGTGACCCAGATTTTGTCAAAAGGTTATTTAAACAAATTCTCAGAAGTTATGTTCCCTCTTTACCTTTTTTATGGAAATTTTCTGTGGAGTGAAATTTGGAAGGAACGACTACTAGAAACTCAATGCAGAATTTATGGTTCTTATAAATTTACTTTTGGTCTCCTGAATACCTGAACATATTACTTATCAGTATTTTTTTTCCTATTAATATTATTTGAAACATTGAGCAATATATCTGGTTTGCTGCTATACTCATAACTTCATTAATTTGGTCTATACACCCACATACACTCAATACTGATTTTCTTATGGTTATGAGCTTACATAAAGACCTCCAAGAAGAAACAAGTTAGGGTGACCCTTTCGACAACTCCATTCAATAAGGACAAACTTTGTTAGATATATGAAAATATTTTATAGTTCTTTAATATTCATGTTTTGTTTGTTCATAAGACTAGAAAATGTGTGTACTGCAGATAAATTAAGTATGAATAAAAATAGTTATTTAGAGAAAGGTTGAAACCTAAGATTTTAAAATTTTCAAACTCATCACTATTTTACTATTCTTATCTTTTTTCCTTGAATATGTATCTCCCAAGTTTCATGTAGATATTCTTCAGAAAAACACCAACCCATTATAAGCAGGGACAATTCATGGCTGACGAAACTTCTGTAAGCTTGCCCAATTATATTAATGCTTGATGTGTTATTATATGACTTGTTTGATCAATAAAGCTCATTGGTAAAGGATATAAATTATAGGCCACAGCTGCTCCATAGTGCTTTGAGGAGTTGGATTGTTGTAGGCCACTGGGCTGAGCGTTTAGATCTGAGTTATTAGTCTTTTTGGAAAGACGTTTGCATGTCCTTCTTTTCTTGCATTTGAAACCTTCTGTTCTGTGTTGGGAAGATTTGCTTGCTGGCCAAAATAGTAAATTTGATGTATATGAGCTCCATTTTATTTAACAACCTTGTCTCCCTGCAATACTTCATGATTATATACAGGTTTACAGTGTTTGTAGTGTAAGGATTGGCAACAATCTCTCCCTTGTGAGCAAGAGATAGTGAAGTTTTACAAAATTATCCAAACCAATCAATCAATCCTGCAGGCTCTCAGAAGTAGGACATAAAAGTCATTCTAGAAGTCTCCAATGGCCACCTTGCAGCCCTCGCCAACACCTTGGTGAGACCTCGTGAGATGTCAGGATCGGCTACTTTGCAGTGGCGTGAAGCCGCCCGATGGAGATAATTTGTCCTACCAACAATACAGAAGACAAATGCTCTGAAATCCGATATCCAATAACTTCATCAACTGGCTCCTTCAGTGCTCGTGCATAGCCCCAGTAGTGACTGGAACACAAGTTGCGGTGACAAGGGTCAACAGACTTCTTGGCTGTGCACGAAGAATAGTGTCCACCCATGCCAGACCCTGAAATAGGAACAGTTATGTAGCCTTACAAATTCAGTAGGTTAATGCCCCCAATCACTCAACAAATCAAAGGCGCCATCCCGCTAATTCAGTAAACATCAAGATTACAAACTCAATTCTTCACCAATATATCACCAAAAGACAACTGAACAAACATTTTTGATTCGTGTAACAGCTGTTTCTCTTTCTGAACATGTACGAAGTCCAAATTGTTCCAAGAATAAACAAAACAATGTAACCAACTTTAAAAAAATAGAATAAAACAAAAGAAACGACCATCCAATCTCTCCCACTCACATTTCAGCAGAAAACCAAAACTCCAAAAATCTCTTCTTTTCTTTGTTAAATCTCTCAAAATCTATATACATTTTGTCAGTCTTGAGACATTCTTTGATCTCCCAAGTATTTTTTTCTCTTTTCTTTTCCTTCTCTTTCTTCCCACCCCTCAAAAAAATGCTCTTTCAGACTGAACTACAATGCTCAAGTCCAAGTCAGATATACAAAAAATAATCACATCAATTCTCACCAAATATCATTTTAGAGCATGGGTAAAACCACACATTTCTCGCTTCTTCAAGTTGTTAACCAAATTGTTTCCAATCCCTTGAACAGTGGCCAGAGTCATTTCCCATATGCTGGAAGTGAAGAGGCTTCAAATACAGATATCTGAAAATATCCAACATTCACTTGATCCCAGATCATACCTAAATCCCAAAAACTTGTACCACAGTATGCATGAATTTGTCACATGTATCTGTTTGAACAGCTTGCTGCCGACCCCTTGGAGTGCATATTGCCATATGAACTCCATACTTCTCTCCAATTCCGCCTATTACCACTTCTTTCAGATGGAAAATCTTGGGTATCTCCATATGCTCTGGATGCACTGCCTCCATTACGTTTCTTTTGGGCATTCCTCATCTCTTCCTCAAGGTCATAACGTGAGCGCTGTAAAAAACACCAAATCCAGTCAAGTGAACCAAGAAACATAGAGAACAGAAGATGCAAATTATTGTCAGCAATAAGGTAAGCAGACTATTGCATTTCACAAGGAAATGTGCATGTGGCAGCAACATATAAGGAAACAATTGTCATTCTAACTGGAAATATTTCAGACAGTTACTTTCAAATATACCATTTGATTTTTGAGGCACAAAGCAAAAGTTTTTCAGCCTCATCCATTTTAAACACTAAGTTTGGGTCGAGGGAGTGGAATGCAAAGAAACGCTGTGATGCTCATAATCCTTCATTCGTCTGAATGAGAAATAGTAATT